TATGGTAAATAACGAAGAATACGAAAATCGAGAGAATTTTGTTGTTGGATGGAAAGAAAAAAAAGTCGAGAAGTATTTTTAGAAATATGCGTAGGCCAGTCATTTGGTGTTTTTTTATCAGCAATAACAATGAGATTCCAGTTGGTAGTTAGATTAAGAAATTTGTGAATGGAAGATGTTGGATAATTTATTGTAGTAACTACAATCCATTTATCTCCTCGTATTGGGCAAATAAGAGAATTAGTAATAGACTGTGAATGTTGATTTATTTGATAAAGAGTTCGAATCGATTTTTTTATATCATTACAGAAAAATAGTGTGATTGTAAATAAAAGAAAAATAACAAAAGTAAGCCAAGAAAATCTTCTATTCTGAATATGTTTTGTCCGATCATGTATTGATTCATATGTATTCATAATGAGATTGAAGACACTGGAGAAGATTAATAAAACTGAAATGCGTCGAAATTAAATACAAAAATGTTATCGAAAACAAATTCAGTGCAGAATTTATATAGAGCAACAGGTATGGAATAATGTCCTTTTCTGTTTGTAAGTCATTATAGTACTTTTATACAACTATAAAATAGGCATTAACATCATAAAAGTACTGTTACTTCTATTGATAAAAGACTTTTTCTGTTATAAATTGGTCATGTTTCATTACGTCATTATCTTTTTATAATAGTCGATAGTTAGTCCTTACAGTACACAAGTTATTTTAAGATGAGTTCTAAGAAGAAGAACTTGCTGTGAAAATGTTTTTTCCTACTCTTCATGTAATGATTTGTTTCATATTTAAAAACTTGTATTATTTACATAATTAGCGGATATAGACAGGTAAACTACCCAGACAGACACCAAAGGGTGAAAATGGCGCTTAAACATATTTAAAAAGCGTTTTTGTTGTTATAAGGCGTTTGTCCATAGAAGTTTGTCTTTTTAACAGCAGTTTTTCGTTCTACGTCATTCATGAAAAATAGATTAAAATGAAAAAATTTGCATAAATATTTTGTAGTAAGTATATAATGCGCGTTATCACTCACTAATTATCAGTTAGTGATGAATGGTAATACTAATGTGTTAATACTGATAGTTAGTGATACTTGGTTAATTTCTTATCCCAGAATTCGAGGTGGTGGCTTAGCATTAGCATTACATTAGTTAAAACTTTGTTCTAATACTTTTGCATTAAAATTAGTCTAAAACTTAATACTCTTGGCATTAATATTAGAGAAACACCTAACACTTTTGCATTAGACTTAACTTAGCATTAGCGTAATACTAACACTTACTATAATTTTTTGCTTGTTTTTTTAGACATATAAATTTGATCATAATTTCGGATTCTTCCTAGTCGAGTTCTCTTTGCATTACTTGTAGTAGAAAACCGTATGTTTTTTATGTAACCCAGACTATTATACTTCTATATATATTTGAGGAGAATATGTATTTTACGAGCAGATCGGTATTGTAAAAAGAAATTCTATCGTAGAAAGTAGAGAACGAATGTCATATAACACTTTATAAATCGATGATTAGGATCAAACTGAGTAAGTTATTATTGATAAAAAAGAGAAAATGTTAATTTCTTGATTATGATCATAGAATTTTTTTTCCAACTACATTCTATTTTATGTCTGTTGACGCTTAGAGTATCAAAAAGAACTTTTAATTATAAAAAAACGATGTTTCATCGTGTTGTACAGTTTATCTATATCTGTTCCTAACTAGAAATTGATTGAATACGAGCTTTAGGAATTTATTAAAAGCATAAGCATATCGATGCATATACTTATGAATATTTCTATAGACGAGAAAAAGGAATATATGTTATAATTGAAAAAAACTCACCTTCTCTAGATTATTATGGCAAAGTCCGATTAAAATCGATTAAGAATTCACGGAAAAAATTGATTGTAATCGATGAAAACTGAATTACATTTTTTCGTTCATCACCGGCAAAAATCAATTTTCTCCGTGAACTCTTAATCGATTTTAATCGGATATCGCCATAATAATCACAAGAAAATGTATATTCTCGTTCTGTATACCAGAGTGAACATATTCAAATCTTATAAGCGTCTATTCATAAGAAGATCTTCTAAAATGAGAGAAAAATAGGACAGTTGCTGCATCTTTTATAGTTGCAAGTTCTTCTTTTGAAAAGTTTTGATATTGACTGAGTCGTAACAGTCATTTTTAGTGAAATAAGCAAAAATCCAAAGATGACTTTATCTATGTAGGTTAGAAGAAGAATATTATATCAATTATTTCTCAAAAAATCCTTTTTGAGAAAGTTTGCAACGAGTTTGTAAATGTAATACGATATTTCAATGACAAATATTTTGAATAGTTCCAATAGAGAAGATCATCACTTAGAAGGAAAACAGACACACATACATATACAAAGAGGACATGTCGCTTCCAAAATAGACTGGTAGCTTCGCGATTCTCACATGATCCTAACTAAAGGATTATTTATTGTTCCATCAATATGTGCTCGTACACTGTGAGTTACATCTAAAGAATCTGCCACCTAACACCTGAGGCTAATTCATTGAAATTCAAATGTCATCACAAGGTTGAAATATTAAAGGGGAGGATATCGAGAGAATAAATGATATTAGATAAATTTCGTCGTTTGAGGCAAAGTATAGAAAACTATAATACCTGCTAAAGAATAATATTATCTTTGAAAATTCGTTAAAATAGTAAAATTTTCAACAAATCATAGCGTTGAAACGTGAAAAAGTGTTAAAAATCGTTAACTGTTTAAACGCTGTTTTTACCGTTTTGTTGTATACCTGGTATAACATGCACGATCGATTGATCTTGTAAATTATTTCTACATTGTCTTTTATGAATAATTTAGTTCAAATATTTTTGCTTATTAGTATATGAATCGTTCTCAAACAGAAAAATTCATCAACCAATTATTACTTTCTGCTCCTACGAAACGTCATTTAGTGTACATATATTTATTAAAAACTACATTCATGTTGATTTTTCTTTTGAGAAAACAACCTGTGCATTGTTATTCAAATGATCGAAGAATAAATCGTTCATAAATCTCAATAGTATGCAACAGATTATTAAATTAGAAAATCTTGCTATAAAATTATCGATCCTTTTCTTCTTTACATCTGTTTTTTTTAAATTACATTTATCGTTTACCATGTTACTTTCTATGTGTGTACAAGGTAACAATAATCTACCAACAAAAGGTTTGTATGCGTGTATTATAGACAAATTTGATTAATTACACTTGCTTACATCGGATTAGTCCAGTCGACATACCCTCTTTTGAGAGAAATGTGCAAATCAGACTGTCTATTACTTTTTATTAGTATAGTATTAACCAACGCACGTTTATTAATCACAGGGGAGGTGAAGACGAAGAATAATAACAATGATTACGTATATTCATAGGTGAAATTTTTACATTAATTATCAGTAATACATAAAACAAATAAAATACATTTCATTGTTACAAAAAAGATTGTTCAACTATCTTACTAGCTTATCGTTGTGATTCAAATACATTTTTACTTCTAAACTTAGATTCGTCATAACCAGAACTGTAAGACTATCGTAAACATTTTGTACTAAATACGTTTCACCAATCCTTTCCATCATCATTTTCATTAACTAATTACTTGGGCATAGTGACCTGTTTAAACTTTGATTCATATTAGTAAGTTATTACTGTTCTAATTAATTTCTCAGATGAATCCGATAAATTGTATAACAAATATAGTAAATACATAAAATAATTGCTTACTGTTTTTTACACCTACATAAAAAAAACAACCATCGTTACGGGAATATTTATTAACTTATTAAAATAAGAACAAGATTCACAATAAAATTAGTATATTTTCATACTAAGACAATTTTAACATTTGTTCATAAAATAAATCATTTTTTTCTGAATAATAAAGATTCAAGGAAGTGATATTCAATTTTTCACTGTTATTCATAATGTAAATTTGATTCTAATAGATATTTTATTCGCTATTTAAATCGTGCGAAATTGATCAAATCGAATATAATAAGAATCGGTAAAATATATTCTAGAAATCGTGACTATACATATGAAAATATAATTTTACGCATGAATGCTTTTTATTTTTTATATTTTTCCTTGTATATGCGCATGATCCATTCATCATATATCAATGATACTGTGCAATACAAAAGAAAACAAAAGTTACGCATTATAATCGTTTGAATAAATATTATTCAATGGCAATTGACATAAAAAATACTGATACAACAAATCTCTTAAGTATATTACAACGGGAAGAAGAAATCATTATTAAACCTTTTCACCCTGGTAAATAGATTAAGGTCATCGAAAGAAAAAATTAATTTTTTTGTTATTAAAGATACGATGGAAAAGAATGGAGCTGTTGAATGTGGAAAAATTGTATCACGAACAAATAAAATTTTATTTAATTATCAAATTGGTAAAAGATAAATAAATAGTTGTTTCAATTTAAATTAATTTATATTTATAGGTGGTAAAAAACATACGTCTATACTAAGTTCAATATTAAATCATAAAATTATATTATTTCATCCTAAAACGAATCAGGTATATAGAATTATTTTTATTTAATTTATAAGAATAATAATAATTTTTTTTTTATTATTTTAGAAAATTCTAGAACTCTATTGTAATCGTGTACCTTTCTTATCTAAAATATCAAGTAAACAAAATGTTCGATGTATAACATCATTGTCTAATAGTTTTCAATCAATTGGATATCTTCAACAGAAGTATGTTAAATAATTTCTATAAAAATGATATTTATCTTGAGAATGAGAATGAGAATATTATATTAATAGGATTCTGTCAATGATAAGATCTATGTAGAATGCTTAGAAATATTTTGCATTGTTTAAGTTTTCTTTTTTATTTTATAGATTTGCTCTGAATAAACTACGGTATAATGTATATAATACTGATTATAAACATGCGGTCAGTTTAATATTACGTAAAAATTATTTGGTAAAGAGAATTCAACATCGTGTATCTGAATTTGAAATAATTAATAAGAATGAAATATCAAGTATTGGTCGTATTTATCCATTTTCTACTGATTTAGAAAGGTCACAATATGGACAAGCTGTAGCTATAAAACGTATGTTTTTGTGAAGTATTGTCATTATCATCACATATATTTTTTTTAATTATACAGTTCCACAAGATATGAATGTTGAATTAAAAGCCACATTACTAATAAGTGCACTTATTCTTGTATGTAGATATTTATTTAAAATATTATTGTATAAGATTTTTTTTATTTAGAAATCACGAATCAATTAGTTCCAAACGTTATTTTGTTGAGAATTTTTAATTTATTTTGTAATAAATAATTTAAATGTTTCAATATAGAAACAAAAAATAAATAAAATTCATTGTATGCAGTTTAGAACTGATATCGATATTAGAATTGTTTATTCTTAACTATACGAGATGTATAGAAAAAAACGATTTCTCGTAAATGGTTTATCCGACAATACAGATGATATTTCGTATTTTGTATAGAATGAATATTTCTGAAGATAATTTTACAGATCACAAAAGTAATTTACATGATGATTACCGGATGTTATTTTTAGAAATAGTGTTGTATCGTGTTTTTTCTCTTTCAACAACAGAAACAACAACAATAATAACAACAATAACAACATAATATAACAAGGTCTGTCTATATTGTGGAAAAGGAAGAGTAACTGTAAATCAATTGTGACGAAGTCCTTAATCATGTCGACTTTCTCTAATCTATTTTTAACGAAATCTAATATAAAAAAACGAGTAAAGATGTAAAGATTTATTAGAAAAAATATCGTGATAGATTCTATCACGTACGTGTCAATCAAACAGAAGTTTTTCTTTAACCTTTTATTGTTACATCTGGTCTATTATACGTCAATAGAAAAAAATGAGAACATTGACAAGCAAATCAATTAACCGACGAACCAAAACCTATCGACAACAATTCTTAAATGAAGGTCGATAAGCAGACAGAGAGATAGAGATCTTTATATATATATATATATGTATTCAGCTACTGTTTATTTATTATCATTATAATAAGAGTCAACAATACAAACTTACTGAATATCTGAAGAATATATATATTGATAATGTAAAATATAAATTAATACTTTCTCTATGGCATCATTTTCTTCACATAATATACTTCATCAAAAATTATTTGATGGAAAAACTAAAACAATTTATTCAATTATTGATCAACCAAGTCTTATTTGTATTCATCGAAAAGATTATCATGAACCATTAGGTTCAAGTTTATGTATTCCTGGTAGTCGTCGATCTAGTATTGATAGTGCTGTTCGTCAAACTAATCAACAACAACAACAGCAACAAAATAATCGTAATAATACTGAAATTAACAGTAAAGGTTCATTAGCAACATCAATAACTACATGTGTCTATGAAATTTTACGTGAAGCAACTATACCAACATTTTATGTTGCACCATTTACTCAACCAGATATGTTTATTGCAAAAAAAATGTACAATGATACCAATATTATGGATTATTCGTCGTTTAGCTAATGAAGCATATGTTAAACGTAATCCCGGTATTACAAATGGTCATCGTTTTATTCCACCAATTATGGAAATTTATTATAAACGTCATCCATTACTTTATAAACAATCAACAGTAGATAGTTATGATGATAATTTCGAATCAGATCATGAAAGTCAATTTGATGATGATGAATCAGATTTTGATGAATGTATTTCATCAATATGGTCTTATGAACAACTTCTTAATACAAATATAAATACTGAAAATGTTAAAATTTCACATACAGATATTGAATATATGTATGAAATATGTTGTACGGTATTTGACATACTTGAACATGTATGGATGGTTAATAAAAATTGTCAATTAATTGATCTGAAAATTGAATTTGGTATAACAACTGTAGCACCAAAAGAGATTGTTGTTGCTAATATATATGATGTTGAAACCTGGCATATATTACGACCTATAGAGAAAACAATATTATCTGGTAATGATTTAATACAAGAAAATCTTGTTTGGATAAATAATTCCTTACGAGATATACTTGATTTAAATATAAATATACCATTAACAGCTAAATTACTTTCAAGACATGATAATGATGAACAAAAAAAATCTAATATTATTCCTGAATATGATTCTATTGATATAATTAATGATAATTTATCATTACATCTTTATTCAACACCAACTACACCATCAATAACAAGTCGTTGTGTTATTATATGTGCATCATTACATGATATTGAATATGGTCAAAAAATGAAAACAATTCTTAATGATACATATAATATACATTGCGATATACGTCTTTATTCAATATATAAATCAACTCAAACAATATTAAAATTTTTATCAAATTATGCCTATGAACATTGTCGACCAACTGTTATTGTTACACTTGGAAATATAAATAATGGTCTTGCTATGTGTTTATCATCAAATTCCCAATATCCAATCATACATTGTTCATTAATAAATAAAGAACAACAAAATAATTTATTTGATATTAATTCATTTATATCAAATGATACATCATTATTTACAATTGTATTTACATTACCAAGTGCAATACAAAATGTTATACAAATACTTGCAATGAATGATTGGAAATTATGGACAAAATTACGTGGAAGACGATTTAAAAAATATATGGATTTAATTATAGCTGATCAACAATTATTAACAAAACAAACAATGAAAACAAATACTAATGGTCTAATGAATAAATAGAACTAGAACCTATTTTTTTATGAACTCTATATTTATATTTTTTTAAATGAGAATTTTTTTGATTGTATATAGAGTATTCCTTATAATCAAGATATATGAAATAAAAAGGTCAACGAAAGAATATACTTCATTAAATTAAATCCAACTGTGTGTTCACCAGCATGTGGTCATATTTCTTGATTAGTTTGATTGTATAAAGTTAACATTGATCTTTAATCTACATGCATTGAATACTTTTCAAAGAATTAATTACAGAAAGTTCTGCCTTTTTTTTATATCTAAGAGACAATTTTTAATCCATTGAGATATAATATTATTTGTCCTTCATCAATACTAAACAAAACAATAATTTATTAATACATCAGTTTTCTCTTATTGTCAATCAAAATAATAATATTTTCTGTTCTGTCTTTTTGCTTCTATGCCATAGATGATCATACTAATAACAATACATTTTTCGTATGTACTGTTGATTATTGACAACAAACATATGGTTCAAATTCTGATCATAGTTAGTTTTTAAAAAACTCGATGGATCTTTCATTGATAAAAGCTTTACAATGTAATGAGTAGTTATATGATCTGATCATTATCGCTTCTTTTTCTTTGAAATATAGATAATATGGTTCAATCATCTGTACAATCTTGTACAATGTTGTAATCTATAGAATACTCAGTAATTAATTGTAACAAGAATTTATTCATATTATATAAAAACTGATATCTTTGTTTCTTGAATATCGATATTATTTAGGAACAGTAGCGGATCCAGGATTTTGGAAGGGGGGGGCGGTGATTTTTTTTGAGTATGGAGGGGCGATTTGGGCTTAAAGCTATTTTTTGTGTCCAATCAAAGTAGTGTAAACCTATTTTTTCGTTCATTTTTGCTGTAAAAAATCAAAAAAAATTCGGAAGGGGGGCGATTACCTCCATCACTCCCTCTAAATCCACCACTGTTAAGAAGTCAACATGGCGTTGATAGTGATATTACTCTTTTACTGCTGTTCGCTTCTTTTTTTTCTGTAATCATATTCATCTTTCTCTCTCCTACTGAAACTTTTCTTACATATGAAGTATTTTAATACACATTATTGACGAAGGTGGCAGTTATTTACTTCTTTGTTACAAAGATATTGAACAAGTAATTATTGATCATGTTAACAATCATTTATTATATTTACCTATGAAAAGAAGTATACTATAAATATACATTATCAAGCAATCTATTGAATCATCTTTTGCAACTTATCGATCGATTTCCAAATAATAAAGCTCAACGATTTTCTATTATGTTAAATAATTAAATGACATAATAACATGATCCATATGTCTGTTATCAACAAAGATATTCATGCTGATATCAGTAATATGTTACGACATAAAACAATTTCTATATTTGCTTATTTAATGTATATTTTACCTCATAGTTAACTAGTCAAGCATGGATGTAAACTAACAACGTAATTATTATAAAAAAAAACCTTAAAAGTATGTGACATATATGATGAAAATAGATATTTTACTATTTTAATATCTAATACAAATGGTTTCTTATTACTTATCATGAAGAATTCTTCTTTTTCTTCTTCTGTGTTCATAATTGAAATAATCATAGAAGAATAAAACACACTAAGCAATGTACTTAATAAAAATCACTCTAATTGATAAGCTGCGCAAAGGTTAAGGTTACTTCAAGTGTGTAATCCGAAATGATTGTCATATCATTGGTATTTTTCATATAGAAATTCAAAAAGTTCAATTCTTGATTTACATATCTATTTATTTCTACTCTACAAGACTAAACTATTCTTCGACCTTACTTTTTACAGTCAAATGTATATATAATACTTGTCATATTTCTAACTACGGTGTTAATTTGTTTGTATTGTAATAAGCAACATTATGCTAATTTTTTACAATAGTCTCAGTCAGAAATCGATCATCTCGGAAGTTATATCCTTGATAGATACAATAACAATTATCCTTTCATATTTTGTTACTAATTCATTTAATATAAATCATTGTTCAGATATATATGTAAACCTTCTTCTTGGCATGATTTTTATATCAATTTTTTTTTCAGCTAAACTTTTAAATCAATAGAGAGAACCTGTCTTTTTTTTAATATAATATATTATCAACGAAAGAGATTTGTTTCTTTAACCTCTCACACGAAAATCATTTCACAAGAATACTTCAGATATTATTGAATTCAATACTGACATCATATATTCAACTTGTATTGTGTCTTCATGCATCCGATAAATGATTACAGGAAATGATGTAAGTTTTCTCAAATATATGACTCGTCCTTTTTTATTGTGAGTCAAAAGTCATTATGATGTTCATCTCACAAGAAAAAAGATTTTGCTTAATAATAGTGTAACAAAACGTTCATAGACTTATTTTTTTCTCTCTTCCACTATATACATTCTAATCGTTCTCACCATCTTTATAAATGATATAAGACAGTCTTGTCATAATCATACGATGTATTAATGTTGCTACTAATATTTCCTAATAACCTTGCAGCTTTTACGCTTCTTGCATGCATCCTAAAGCCCGAAAAAAGAAATAACATTGTGATGCACTCATCCACTCTCTCTCGATAATAACACTTAAGTATAGATCAAGATAATATGTACACATTTATATTGAATGTTGTCAATTTTGAAATAGAAAGACATTTATTGTGTTGAAATAAAATAAAATAAAAAAACTAATGCATTACATATTAGTGTGATGTAACAAGAGCACATCGATATAATAATGATTTTATAAGGCATCGAGTCTTTTTCTTTTTTTTTTTGAAACAGAACACAAAACGTAAAAGAAAAAAAATGTAAATGCCTTTCAAGTATAAGTACATGCGAGAGTATATATATAAGATAAGTGCACAGCTGAACGTTCAAGTAAGCGAGAATTAGTCAATTCTCTTTATCACATTCGTACTGAACGCTAGCTATATGATGTTGACAATGACGACAACGTTCAACATTAATAATTTTCAGTGGTGCGGTATTAATACAAAAAAAAGAGGGAGACAGAAAGAAAGAGAGTAGTCTAGAGAAGGAGAGAGAGAGAGAGGAAAAAGAAGAATATGAGGCAAAGGAAACATGATTACGAAACAGACGGCAAGAAGAAAATGTGCTCAGTATACAAGTAAGAGAGTTGAGAGTGTGCTTCTTATTTCTTTTCTAAATGAATATATAGGCAAATAATCATAGTTACAATAGCTATATGAATATAATAGTTCCCGAACGGTTTTCATTTCCTTTTGAATTAAGTATTATAATATTCTACCTAAGATTTGTATCAAAAGATGCTTCTTTTTATATACCCACTTATTTTGTTTCTCCTAGTCCTTGGAATATATGACACCTTCTTTCTTTAAGAACTCTTTACCTATCAACAGATAGTAATTGTTAACAGTTCTAATGACTGAATAATGTATGTGTAAAAGAGAGAAGAAAAAAAAGAAGGAAATAGAATATATATATGCTGTTATTCTTTCGTTTCAGAAATGTTCTTATTAGTTTTGACACATACTAATTGATGGTGATCAAACCGATGCGCGATGTTCTTCTATCTTTTTCTTCTTAATATCTTTTCATGGTTATTAAATGTCAATGGAAATGAATGTCAATTCTTAGCTATGTGTAAATGTACAAATTTTCCTCTTTTTGCACTTATTGATACAAGTTATTTGAGTAAACCACGTTCACCATTAAATCAAGATTTATTTTGTACATATTCAAATGAACTTTTAAAAGAAAAAAATACAACAACATTTGAACAATTAAAATATTTTTATTTTCGTTTTCGTACATTAACATTTGCAAATTATCCAAATTTACCAACAAAAGC